TAAAAATCTCACAATCAGCACTAAGAAAACAAAAATCAATAGAACAAATCGAAATCAATCGTACAAATCACTAACGTTACAATTCCGGCTAACAACCAGAAATCGTGTCTCCTATGCCATATTTCATACTCATTGCCCGGCACGGCTGCCTTCTCTTCGTTCAGCCACAACGTGTGCAATTCGGTGAACCCACCGTCGGCAATGTTGAACTTGAAGGATGGTCGGGGAGCACGATTCTTTCGGTCCTCCTCTTTGCTCACTACGCCCTTCGGTGCACCTTCGTCTGTTTCCATTTTATCCTCCTCTTTATCAGTCTCCATCTGAATCTAATAAACTCTTTACTTTACGATCAACAATAAATTCTTGACGAATCACAATCACATTTAATTCATACAATCTCTCCAAATTCCCCCATTTTTGAACAAAACATTTCTTACTGATGTCAGATTAAAGCAATCAGCCAGCTGACTCACTCTAATTGTTTCAGGCTCCGCAAATCTCTTAATTGTTCTAATCAATAACTATCACTACCTAATAAATCAATAACAATACTAAAGGTTACAAATAAACTTAATAAATCATTTCACTCATAACAAAATCTACAACAAACACTAAACAACAACACAACAGTCACATTACAAACCACTTCAGGTAAAACTATTTTAAAATGTCAATGATGATTACCTGAATCTTACATAAATATTCTAATCCGTCTCAAATTCTTACATAATCATTCTTATTTCATCAGTCAATTCTTCAAATTCTTCATCCTATTTCAGCATTTTCTTATGTTATTTTAAACTAATTGTTACTTCACCAGTCAATTGCTTAAGATGTCATCACTAAAATGTGCCTCAGATTCGCCTTTTGATATCATATTCTTTTATCAGTAATGCTGTCGCATCGTGCCTTTGTAATCCACTCTAACACTCCGAGTGAATCACCATTAACGATACTCATTTCACTTTATCATTTCTTGCTTGTTTCGCTCTTATGATCAACTTTTCATCAAAGACCGAAAACAATAAATGAAACTGAAAATATTCACTTTCACAAGCGAATATCTTCCAACAACTTCATACACAATCTTTCATCATCACTGGCACATTATGAATTTCTCTCGCGAAAAAAAATTAATACTCAAATTAAAACCCACATATTATGTGAATCAAAACTCAAAACTCAAATACACGCCAAATCATAGCCAAAATCAAGTTCGATACTAATATATTACTCGATTCCCACTCAAACTTTCCTTCCTCTAGGCATTCGTCTTCTCTCACTCAACCCCAGCCACTCAAGCAAATTTCCCATCCAATAAAGAAACTAATCTAGATTTCATACAACTACTTTCATACTTCCCACTAATGACGAACCTCCAACCCTTCCCAAATACTGCATGTTCAACGCTTTACCAAATACTAATTGCAATAAATTACACCTAAATACACTCAACCTACTCATCACTATTATTTCTGTCACTACTAAGATCACTTATATAATATAATATTAAATATTACTGTTTAAAATTACTTCTAAAATCATCACAACCATCATTTCCTATTGACTATTATAATCTTCAAATCAATTTTACGTTTGCACTGACTATTCTCAATACGAAGACTATTCCCTTCATCGCTAAAAACAACAACTCAACGAAATAAACTCACTCTAGAATTGGAATTCGAGTCAGGAGTAGTCTCCTTCAAGGCCGGTGTACCACTGCGAGACGATGCCTTCGAGCCACCTTTACTTGACGTTCCTTCTCGTTCCTCGATCGCCTGTGCTGCCAGACGCTCTTTCACCTCTGGGATTGACCAATCTCCATTACTCGATTCGAATTCCTAAACAATACCACTATTTACTAGCCTCAAACTATCATCATTATTACTATTGAGCACATAAAATTTAGAAATTAAACATGATTTCAATAAAGAAATGGCGAGATGTTATAATTTAAAAAAAAAACTTCATAAAAGAAATAAGAATTCCATCCGCGGACTTAAAAAATATTTCATGAATTAATGAATGACATGTTCTAATTATCACCCACACAGCATGATTAAAGAAACATCGATAAATTAGAACACAATGAAAATCAGGAAAAAAAGGTAAATTAAAAAAAACAACTTGATCTGACAATAACCTAATAAAAACGAAAATCTCCAATAATTTCTAACGTTCCTTTCTTATCGTCTAAACTAATTCTTAATTCAACACTCAATTGCTTAAGATGTCATCACTAAAATGTGCCTCAGATTCGCCTTTTGAAATCATATTCTTTTATCAGTAATGCTGTCGCATCGTGCCTTTGTAATTCACTCTAACACTCTGAGTGAATCACCATTAACGATACTTATGCTTTATCATTTTTTGCTTGTTTCGCTCTTATGATCAACTTTTCATCAAAGACCGAAAACAATAAATGAAACTGAAAATATTCACTTTCGCAAGCACATATCTTCCAACAATTTCATATAACAATCTTTCATCATCATTGGCACATCAGAATAATAACAATAACAAAACGAAATATCATTATTTTTGCATAGATGTAATAACTTAATTCACCTTAATGCATAATTTACCTTCAAATCACAACATGTGTCAAATTCCAAAAGCAGTAACAATAATACAACAACATTCCTAATGTGTATACAATAAGAATGCAGCAATAAGAATCGTAAGAGTAATTTCTCACCAAACAATAAAGATTACAACATAGAATAATAACAACCAAACGAACTATACCTGAACTTTCTTTCTGATCAGCGACATAATACCGATTCGAGTCAGCACGTGCTGTCTGTTCAGACCCTCTCGCGGCACACCATCGTTGAACGACTCCTGAGTGTCTGCACCAGGCTCACACAGATGGCGCATAAATAGCGATGTGTACGCTTTGAATGCACGCTCTGATTTACCCTGAACAATAAACACTCAATTCTTATGTAGTCACTACTGATTCTGTCATTATTTTGGATAGATGTAATAACTTGATTCGGCTTTTCTTGTTATTATTATTACTTGGACAGTGGTTGTTTTGTCAATCATTGTGAGCGATTGGCAGAATATTTAT